GAAAGTTGTTTTCTCCATGTGACATGTAACACACCTGCCCACTATGTTGGTTACATCTCCTAACATCTTCGGCCAAAAGAAATGTTCTTTGAGCACCTCCAAAGTTTTATTAATGCCAAAATGACCAGCCAAACCACCGCCATGAGCTTCACGAATCAGCAACTCCCGTATTGCATGTTTTGGGACACAAAAGTGATTGCTTTTGAATAGAAAGCCATCTTGAATCACAAATTCATCACTAGGACCACCTTCACATTTCAAAAACATATCTCCAAAGTCCATATCAGATTGATAATGGTCCTTTAGAGTTTCAAATCCCAAGAAACGAACATCCAAAGTCACCAACAATGAGTAACGCCTTGAGAGTGCATCAGCCACCACATTGCTACCATCCTCGTATTTGCATGAAGAATGAAAGGATTGCAAGAACTCCACTTCAAATGGTTGAGAAAAATCGGGAAGAGCCAAAATAGGAGCATCACAAAACAATGCCTTGAGTTTCTCAAACGACTTTTGAGCTTCTTCTCCCCATGCAAATACTCCTTTCTTCAAACAACCTGTTATGGGACTTGCAATGGTGCTAAAATCACGAAAAAATCTTCTATAGAAAGAAGCAAGACCATGAAATGATCTAACTTCATAAATGTTAGTAGGAATAGGCCATGACTTTATTGCTTCAGTTTTGGATGGGTCCACGGGCACGCCATTTCTTGACACCACAAAACCCAAAAATGCCACTTCTTCCACCAAAAATGAACATTTTTCTTGCTTCCCATAGAGTTTTTGAGCTCTAAGCATCTCAAAAACCTGTTTTAAGTGCACCAAATGATCCTCCAAGCTCTTGCTATATACCAAGATATCATCAAGGTACACCACCACAAACTTGTGCAAAAAAGATTTTAGCACTTCATTCATTAGTCGCATGAAAGTGCTAGGTGCATTAGTTAGACCAAAATGCATCACAGTCCATTCATATAAGCCATGTTTAGTTTTAAAGGCTGTTTTCCATTCATCTCCTTCACGCATACGAATTTCATGGTAACCACTTCTCAAATTAATTTTTTAAAACACAATAGAACCATGCAACTCGTCCAACAAATCATCAACTCTAGGAATAGGAAATCGGTATTTTATGGTGATGTTATTAGTAACCCCACTATCAACACACATCCTCCAAGAACATCACAAGGACTTAGGCTTTCACAAACATAACCCATTTTCATGAGTTCATCAATTTGTTTTTGCAACTCCTTTGTCACCTCAGAATTACATCTATAGGCAACTTTATTAGGCAAAGGGGCACTCGGAATAAGATCAATTTGGTGTTTGATACCATAGATTGGAGGCAAACCCGATGGTAATTCGCTTGGAAACACATCTTGAAACTCCAAAAGCAAATCAACAACAATGTTTTCTCCATGCACCATCTTCTCCACATTTGCATGCTCTTTGGCCACAAGCATGTAAATCACATCATATTTGTCAAGAACTTGCTCTACCTCTCTTTCACTGCAAACACAAAAAGATTAGGTTTTTTTACTTGTTTAGAATTCATGGACCTTATGGCCGTTGGGGACATGGGTTTTAACACAATTTTTTTGTTATTATGTTTCAACTCATATTCATTGCTCCTTCCTTTATATAACACGTCCCTATTAAATTGCCAAGGATGCCCCAAAAAAAATATGACATGCATCCATAGGAATAACATCACACAACACTTCATCTTCATAAGACCCCACAGTTAGAACCACTTTAACCTATTTTGTCACCTTTATTTTGCTTCCATCATCCAACCAATGAAGATCATATGATTTTGGATGGTTTGTAGTAGACAAACCCAATTTGGTCACCATTTCATTAGAAGCAACATTAGTACAACTTCCACCATCAATAATCAAAATACACCACTTGTCTCTAACCAAACATTTGGTGTGAAACTATTGGTCTCATTGTTCCATATCAGCCACAGTTTGAGCCCCTTGAGTTTTAAGGGTTCTAAGCACCAAACCTGTATAATACACCGGTGCTTCATACTCTACCTCCTCTTTTTCTTCTTCTTCTTGTTGTGTATCATGAACAATTAACCGCCAACCGCTCTTCTTCCTCCAACTATTTACGAAATTCAACGGCCTCTCTTAAAGTCACCACCCTTTTGTTTGGACAAGCATTTTGGTAATGACCAAAACCTTGACACTTGAAACATCTAATTTTTGCCAAACTAGTTTCTTTGGTACCACTAGTAAGTTTAGGAGCAACGGGAACACTACTAGAACCAGAAGGAGTAGAAATAGAATTTTGTCTATTGCTAGACTTGGGCTTAGAGCACGACTTTGACTTGGGACTTTCGAGACTTGAACTTGAACTCCCACCATAACGTGCTTTGGCTTGCCCCTCCAACTTCAAACACAAACCCCAAAGAGTTCCAAAATCAGCATAAGGATATAACTCCACAACATTGGCAATGTTGTAGTTCAACCCTTTTAGAAAATCAATCATTTTTTGTTCTTCAATTTCTTTAATATCCCCCATCAAGGACAACTTCTCAAATTCATCAATTATTCTCCAACACTCATTTTTCCTTGCCTCAAATCAGCAATCTTCTTGTAAGTGGCAATTCTATGAGTAGAGGGAACATATCTCTTTCTTAGCTTTCGTTTTAGAGAAAGCCAAGAACAAATTTTTTCTTTGCCTTCACGGTTTCTCTTGGCCTTAAGCCATTCAAACCACAATGTAGCACTACCACTTAGCTAGAGAATGGCATACTTGCATCTTTTTTTCTCATCCACTTCCTTGAACTCGAACATTCTTTCAATCTTCCTTTCACACTCCAAGTAGCGTTCATGATTAGTTCCATCAACAAATTCAGGCAATTCAGGCACCTTGAATTCTTCCACAGCCCTATGTTCACCACGGCGGGGTTGCCTTCGATTTACACCTTCTTGGATGTTTCTTAATCCTTTAACGAAGATTTTGTAGGAACTCCGGATCATCAAAATCCATTTTGCGCTCTGATACCACTTATGATACAAATATACTTATGATACGAATATGGAAGGTTGTTAGATGTGGGTAAAATGTTTGCGAATAGAAATACCAACAAACATGGCAAATGATAGGTTAATTAAACCTATAATCTGTCAATCATGATAACAAGCCAAGACCTATTGACTTGAAATCAAAAAACTCATGAATGAGATCACGTCCCAAGCAATGACTCAAATCTTAATTATAAGCAATAATTTAAGAAAGGGATGAACAAAGTTCTGATTTTTCTTCAAAAGATAACTGATTTTCAAGTACAACTATGAACTCTATTTATAGTGCTAATAACATAACTCTCGGAAATATCAAAAGTTTAAAGCAATTAAATTATTAAAGTGTCATTATTAAACTAAATAATTACCCATTATTGAACTATTAAAGATCCATTATGGCAGCAATCAATAAGCTGATTATGAAGATTCTTCAACTCATTTAAGCTAGTTATGATCATTTTCATGAATCCCTTCTTGTCACTCAATCATGGAACTTTAGAAAACATAAGGGTTGGGTCATCCTTATTAAAGCACACATCAATCATTTGACAAGGTTGTCCCCTGGTCCTTTCAGGAAATAATCGAATTGATATATTTGTATGTTTTTTTTTATCAAGCTTCCTTTTCCAGTTGTATCCAGTCTAGCATCCTACTTCCATTTATTACGGTTTACCTTTTTAATGTATTTGTTTGTTTAACTTTTGTTTTTTAGTTTAACTATTGGTTTGGTATTCCCATAAAGCATCCTACTTATATTTTCAGTCCACAATTGGTTTAGTTATATATTTTTTCTTATTTATCTGTTGGTTTAGTTGTTCAATATAGCATCATTCTCCTATTTTTTATACAGTAGAAAGTAGTGTCCAATGTTTGTCTAGTTTTTCATTTTTTTCTCTATTCTTTTTCATTTCTACTGAAATGAAATTAACTTATATTTTCTGCCCCATAAGTAGATGCAGACATGGAGTCGTGTACACCTCATTGTGACCATTTTTGTTGCAAGAGTCGTGTAGAAAGTTGGTAGATGGAATTTTGAAAAGGAACCAGAAAAACATGAAAAGATCGAGGCTGATGGCATTGATTATGAGTGTCGAAAAAATGTAAGAATCTCCCTTGTCATTTTGCTTTTGTGATTACTGATATTATGTTGAATATGATGAACAGTTGGGGAGTGATGTATATGAACACAAGAGGACCAGGTTTTAAAACTAAGGGACCAAGGGTTGCAAATTAAAGTTTGCTTAAATATGCTTTTTTTTTTCTCTTGGTAGCTATATCAATAAGAAGCATATGAGTCTTCAAATGCACATCTAGTTTGATAGGCTAGTATACATTGGGGTGTTTCAAGTGAGTAACATGAACAAATTGATGATTGTGTGAACCGAGTGTGGCAATGAAATTGGTGTCAAAATCCTTCAACTGGATGACATATGTGAACGTCTTGTTAAGGTTGTATCCTATTTCTAATGGATGTAAATATGTACAAATTAATAACAGGATTTCTTTATATGGATATATTTTATGTAAAAATTGAAATGTAACAATTGTAGCAATAAGCATCTTGGTATTGGTAGATTTAACAAAAAAAAAAATATTAAACAATCAGTAAAAAGACCTGTTTGTATATAATAGAACCGGGCTATATAAAAAAACAAGATCTGCTTCTAACTCGCATGATAGAACCTGTGTGAGAACTGGGATATAGTCATACAGAAAGCTTTGTGGTTCAAGAAAAAAAACTTGGTTTTATATTAGGGAACCGGGTTGTATTAGCTTAATAAGCCCGGGTTGTATTAGCTTAATAAGCCCCGGTTGTAAAACCTGGATGTCAATGCTCATATAAAATTAGGTTGCAAAACGGGTTCTTTATGGTATTTAACCTAGTCATAGCCTTTTAGTAGTAGCGATGAGTAAATTTTGAGCATAAGATCAGTTTATTAGCACAACTATATGTGTCTTCATGTGATTAATTATGTAAGTTCAAAACAGAAACATGAATACTAACATCAAAAAACAGAACCAGTAAGGTCAACACAGAAACAATGAAATGACAACGAAATATGAACAGAAACAGTTACAATAATTCAAAAAACAGATTCTATTGTATTCCAACTGCTGTCTTTTCCTTTCCCATTCTCCACGCCTTCATCATCCAAATTCTCCAAAACCATTTCCTCTAATGAGAGAACTATGTGACTATGCTCTGAAGTACACTACCTTATCTAATGAAAAGAGAGATTAAAAATTTGGGAATAATTGTAGAAAATCAAAATCAAAACATGAATTATCAATTATCACTAAAACACTATCATTTAGTTATTATGAGCTTTAGAAAAAAAAAAGTTAGTAATACATACTAATGACATGTACCTTTAAAGCGGATGTCTTCTCCAAAAAAATAATCATATTTTAGTAGGATCGTTTCATAAAAAGGCAGCATAATTCGACTTTTGTTTAGTAAATATTCTCCTGTTGTTAACTGAAATCCAGTGAGATCTCCACCAATAACGTAATTCCAGGACTTGTAATAAACCAACACATCATCCTTTTCTTGTTCTTCATACGTGTCTCCATCATCATACACAACCCCCACCCCACACTTCCTTGTAACTAGATTAGCACGAAATGGTTTCTCCCTCACAGTAATAGTAATGTGGTCACCAGCTTCCATCTCATTCATCCCAAACATCCAATGGCTTAACAATGTTAAACACTTCCCATCAACACCGACACTGACTCTCTCAATGTAATGGTGGTATATCCAGGTGAGATTCTTTGTTATATTATTAATTGTTATCATTGGCAAATCAAGGAGCTCATCCACTACAGATCCAAGCCTTTCATTCACAAATCCAAACGTCATCACGCAACAGAAATTCAATCCTGTGAGGCTGTTAGGAGATGATGGAATGGTAAATGATATCGATGGCCCCATGCTTCTATTTGTAATCCAATTCGGAATCTCTTCGCCTTCATAAATAGTGCTGAATATCCCAAATTCATAATACATCTGCCAATTACAACTTCATTAATTATACATATATACATACATATTCACACAAAGACATAGTTAACTAGACCAAACCTGGATTTCAGATTCCTCATACCCTCTATCACGAGAATAAGTTGTCAAACGCCTTCCAGAAAGGAAGTCTAGATTACTCCAGCCCAGCCTACATAATACATTTTCCTCAGCACCTGCCAGCGGTTGGATTTTGATCAAGCCCTGTATTTCAAACGACGAAGGTGCTAACATCTTCCAGTCTATTAAGAACTCGATTGGGGACATTTGTGGATCAAATACAACATTATGTAGCAAAAGCTTATAATCAGAACTATGAGAGAGGTTCAAATATGTTAGTGTATGTGGAGGATGCTCGACTGATGTCAGCATATTACGGTTTTCCATACTAAGTTTCTCAAGTCTAGGAAGGGTTCTCACACAACAGGGCAGTGAAACAATAGGATTTTCATCTAAGTATAATTCTTTTAACATGGATAGATAACTAAAGTCCATGGGAAAGGATTCGGTGGACAAATTATTATTGTCAAGTGCCAAGATTACTAAAGATCTCGGTAAAGAAACCGAAAAAAAAATTGAATGGCTTGGAATAGCCTCTAAGATGGTGTAGGAAGAGGTTATTGTGTTTATATCAATGTTGTTAGCCATGAACATTTTTGGTGAATCTATATCTATAATCTCAGTTCCAGATTTACCAAGATTACAACCCTCTAGCAATAGTGTTTTAACCTTGTTTAACATGCCTATGATCCTTGGAAGTTTTTCAAGCTTATTGCAGTAACTCAGATCAACGAGGACAAGTGCAGAACATCGCTCAATTGATTCACAGACATCAATCAAACAAATGCAGTCTGTAAGTATTAACCTCTCAAGTAGAGGTACTTGGTCAAAACCACCCAAACTACAAAGTTGTTCACAGAAACTTAAATTAAGAATCTTCAGTGATCCAAGGAACCTCTTGTCTTTTGCATACGATCCAAACAACTGTGGAAATGTAAATAAGTTAGAATAGTAATGAATTTTACCAAAGCAACATTGAAGAATAAAAAATAGAGATATATTACGTTTTGTCTACTCTCAAGTCGTTGTGGGTTCCTATAAAAAATGTTAAATGATTCAATATTGCTATATGACATGTCAAGAGCAACCAAATTCTCCATCAGTAGGTCTGAAGGTATAGACTTCAAAGGGAACCCATGCATACACAACCATCTTAATTCTTCTGGAAAATTATCATAAGACCCACTAATTTGTAGATAATTGAGTTGTAGTAGCATCAAATTATCCATGTTACTCAATGCATCTGTTTTCAGCTCAAATGATTCATGCAACTTCTCTTTCTCAAGTATTTGCATGTCAAGGGAAAGACCTATAAGATTCCCCTTACCCTAAGAAGATACAAAATACCAAAACAAAATTTAAAATATTTATATAGATAAAAAAAAATACTAGGAACTTTTATACTACTAATGGCTAAATGCATGAAACAACAATGTACTTTCATTTATTTGTGTCTTATAGCAGCCTACTGTTATTTCTTTTAATTCCATGACTGAACTTTCAATTTTTTTCTAACTGAGAAACTGTATTTTTATTAAATCTATCCAATTATAGCATCGGATTTCCAGTTTTTTCTTATGACAGTAGCCTTCAAATAATCTACACAATTATTGTACTGAAATTTGTTTTTTTTATTTTGACAGATTACTATAACCAGGTAAAATTTTCAAAGTACAATGTTGTAATTGGAAGAAAAGAATGCAGAAAATTATAATAAACAAATCAAAGGAACTGCAATGTTATTTCTTGAGTTTAACTCTACTACTAACAAGTATACATGTTCTCTTACCTTTTTTTTCTTCAAAGCTTTGAATGACTCATGACCCCATAATCGACTACGCTTCCATGGCTTATCAGGTGATTCTTCACGTACCACAAATCTTCCCATCTCTTGAAGCAACTGATGCATCATCAATTTGTTATTCCTTCCAATACTAAGTAGGCATCTGTCAATGAGATCCGTGATCCCAGATCTTGTGTTTATCTCACATGCATTTAATATCGTTTCGGTAACATCTTTATCCATTCCAACAAAAAAGCAAGCAATATGCTTAAACAACTCCTTATTGTTTTTTGATGTCAAAGAGTCAAAACTCATTCTCAAGACATTATTTATAGGGGAACCGGTTTCTTTCTTTAGGAGTTTTATCCCATCTTCCCAGTAAGCTAAATCTCGATTATGCAGAGACTTGCCCAAAACTTCAAGAGCCAGAGGATGTCCTTCACAATATTTCACATACCTTTCTGACACCTCTTCATAACCAGCCTTGGCTGTGTTGCACATGAATGCATGAAAACAAAAAAGGTTTTGTGATGCAGTGTCATATAAACCTCGAAGCAAGTGCTTAGCATGCTTGGGTTTAATGCTCTTTTTGAAAAGTGCACAACTCTCTGTCAACCATGCGTCCTTTGTTGTTATTATGATTTTGCTGCCGGGATGAAAACCTTTGTTTCCAAGCAATGCATCCAACTGATGGAGACTATCAATATCATCAAGAACTAGAAACACCTTTTTACGAGCTAATGCACTCTCTATCTTTGATGTGTATACAGATACATCATGAAGTTGAACTGAACTTGTTTTCAAAATGTCATCGCACAGTTGTTTTTGTAACTCAAGCAACCCATTAAAATTGTCAGTACATCGCCTACTAATATCTTCAATATAGCTGCTTGTGTCGAAATCATGAAAATGAGACAAATAGACATATTTGGCTAAAGTTGTCTTCCCGATTCCACCCATACCCAAAATAGTGAGTATGTCTGTTGTATGTGATGATGCATCTTTCAACCATGAAGTGATGAAGTTAACAGAATTGCCCATCCCAATAAGTAGCGGTAGAGAAGTCCTTAAGGGTATCTGTAATCTTCGGTAGATGTCGTTGACAATTTCTTCAATGAACTCCATCTCTAACCTGAAACTTGATTTAAATAACTAAGTACAAACCACAATCCTCAAAGCTAACAACCCGGATTTTGAGATTTGATTCATCCAAAGATCCAAATTGAGATTATATCTTATTAAGCTATTAATTTAAATTTGTCGTTTCATATAAAATGCATATTATATTTGCACTTTTAACCATCTAAGCATCTAATGTGCAAGGTCATAGTTTTTTTTATTTATAATAAGACCAGAGTCACTGGTGTATAATTCAAGATTTCACTGAATTTGTTATCTTCCTACAAGACAACAACACTTAAATATCGATGCCGTTAAGCATGAATCTGAACAATATTTCTTAGGATAGCTATAGGTTGACCTCTACTACTCACATGTAAGATCATTTACTTATCATAAAAAAAGAGGTATTATGGCATAATTAATAGTAGACGCATTGCAAACCATTCAAAATTTGGTTTTTACAAAAATCATAAAAGAATAATTACATGTTTTATCTAAAAACGCAAGTTTTAAATCAATAATAAATGTATATCAAATGTATTAAAATTATCAGGACGGTTATTCTGACCATATAATTGAAAATTGAGATTCAATTCTTAGCATCTTTTTGATCCACTTTAAATACATCGAACATATACCTACGTGATGATAATCAAGAAACTTATTGAAATGCATAAGGAGAAGATGATATTGAAGTTTCATGCGTTAATCAAATAAAACAAGAGTGTGCAAATACAGGTAAGAAAGTGGTTACCTGTTTCTAACATCCTTCCCTTTCAAATCAGCAACTTGTGTAAGTGCTTTATTCCATCGCTCTATCTTTTGAGTCCATTTACTTCTTTTATTTCCATCTGTCTCCGCCTCCATCATCTTTCTATGCTTAGCCATTGCATCTCCAAAGCTACTCTGTTGCTTCCTGACATGGGTGGGCTCCACATGATAAAAGATGGGGATTACAATATGTTTGGATGTCCTAAGTTGCTCAAGAATCAGCACCAGTTCATCAAGACACCATGTGGAAGAAGCATAATTCTTGGACAAAACGATAACCGAAGCCCTAGATGCTTTAATTGCACTCTCCAATTCTGGTTTTAGATTTCCCCCAATTTCAATCTCTTCATCATCCAAGAAGGTAATAACATTGGAATCCATTAAGGCTTTATGAAGGTATGCAGTGAAATTATTACGAGTGTCGAGACCTCTAAAACTTAGAAACACGTCATATCTATGACCATGAGTTGATGATGAAGATGAAGATGCTTCTGAAAGTTCAGAGAGAACAACCATTATGGGTTATGGGTTGATGACCCTTCACCTTCCCACGGTTTTGTGTATCGAATTCTAGTTTCTCTTTATAGGTTGGTGTTTCATAATAAGCTCTGAAACTCAGTTTCCCATGGACATCATCACTTATGAAAGTTGATTTCACTGTTTACTTCTTGTGTCTCTCAGAAAGTAAGTACTGTGTTCTGAAGCTTTTGAATCCCACTTTTCCTCAATTGCACCTCAATCTCTATATCATGTACATATCGTCTCTAACAATCTACATAAAATCCAAATTATTATACCTTATGCAACATAAGTCTCATCAAACAAGTTACTCAAGAATAATACCTTATATTCTTCAAAATACATACTTAAGTGTTTAATAAACAATATATGCACCTCAAACTTTTCCATGTGAACCAATATGCTTCAGAAACAACGAGCATATATATAGCTATGTGATTTAATATGCTTATATTAATACCTTATGAAACTTAAGCTCATCAAACAATTTAAACCTCCATGATAAAAATAAAACCTTTTATTCTTTACATAAAAGTTTGACATGATTGAAAAACCAATACACACACATACATACATACATAAATACAAAAACCTTTATTTTGATATAGAATCACCATTATTGCCATGGGAGTTACTTAAAATTGTTGACATGGTTGTTTATAAACCCCACGCATTAGCAAATAAAGCTGTTCAAATTTGAAATTATCTATTAGTAGAACTAGTATCAGCATACTGATGGGCATGTTCTAAATGATATGTTTTTTTTATGAAATTAACAAGCTTTCAAACTCTAGAGTAGATGAAATTTTGGAGGTAAATTCACTTCATACACAATCTGACAAGCATACAGATATTCATTGTCAATATCGAGTTGTATCTTCTTTTTGGAAACAATGTGATGGCATTGCTGTTTACAGACCCTGTAACATGATTTTGAGTTGACCAAATCCTACTTGTAATTCCAACATCCAAATGAAAAGGCTATCAAAGTGATGAACCCAAGCACACTAATCGCATCTTGAAGTAGATATTATCACTTGGATATGTAAGACAACTAAACACACAATTAGTGCCAGGAAATTTCAGCTAGGCGAGTTTTCCCTTTTGGGAATCTTATGAGCTGCTTAAATTGCAACTGTGGGCATATCAATGAAGGCTTGATTATGTATCAACTATCAAAGGTGATTTATGTGAACAGTAGTAGGTGTTAAATCTAGAAAGAAATCCCTTATTAATTATGTATCTCAAAACAAAACCTACCACAGCTTATAAGCAAAGAAATTGAGCCCTAATTAAGGGGGTGTTTGGCTTAGCTTTTTAAGGGCCAAAAGTCCTTTTTGGAAAAGTTGCAAAAAGTCAGATTTTCTTGACTTTTCCAAAAAGTTGATTTTCCTTCTATCAAAAATTCAAAAGTAGGTTTTAAAACTGTTTTGCCAAACATCTTTTGGCTTTTATTTTTTTCTAAAAGATCTTTTGGCTTCTCAAAAGCTAAGCCAAACATAAGTGATTTGTGATCTAATTAACTCTACATTAGCAAGATCAAAACTTTGTTTCAAGGAATATAACACCTGAAACAACTCCACAAGAGCAGAAATGTCTTACAATTTGGCTTCAACAGGTCAGCAAGTTTTGCACAATTTAAAATTGTCACAATTGAATATTCAAGCTTGTTCGTAGATTATCCTTTAGGAGTCCAGCGCAGATAGTAGCATACAATAAAAATTTACGTTTCTAAGTTGGATAACATAGAGGAATTAAGAAAGTAATATTCGAGGATAAAAAAATTTCTCAATTGGCACAAAGTTTTCTTCATCATTCTCGATTTTATTCAAGAACGTGTAGGGCTATGTACTAGCCTAATTGAAATACAAAACTAAACAAGAGTAATTGAAATAGCGGAACTTAATGAACAAACAACTGATTATGATGCCATTTATGATTAATTAAGATTGTAAGAATGTGCTTTCATAGTCACCTGCCTACAGAACGACAACGAGACCTGCAGCGGTGAGTTAGAGAACGAGCCAACGGCGACGAGACCTACAAGGACAGACGACTGAAAACTAGTGATCGAACGGTGGTAAGTAAGCAGGTAAATGGCGAGTCAACGGTAGGGAAGGGACACGGTGAGTGAGGACAAACGAAAATATTGGAGTTAATATTCTACGACGACCAATGAAATGATATTTTGACTCAATTACAAATTTGGTCCCTCTGGTTTTTATTGTTTTTGGAAATCACATATTTGGTCAACTTAAAAACACTATTTTTAACATTTAAAATTTTTTAAAAATTTTCTTTTTCCCATTTACAATTCTAAAATAATACCGAAATGGACCATGTGGTTTAGCCGGCATGCAAGTATTGTCGGAGTTTTGGGAAATTGATGTAGTTGGTCCTCATTGTTTCAAAATACTTCAGGTTTGGTCCATTTGGTCATTACCGTCAATAACTTTTCATTAACAATAGAGAAAATGACTATTTTACCTTGTGTTTTGTCTTATTAATATGCAAAATTTATGGACCATGTAAAAGAGCTCAGACCAAGACTTGGTCTCACACATGCATACCAACATGCCTTTTTTTTATTTCCTAATTCCATGTATTTTCTGTTCTTCGTTTTTGTATAAATTGAGATGTATGCTCGTTGATTGAATAAGTAGAATACAATTACTTTTATGGTATCAGAGCACCGGCTCTTTCTTTTCCTCTTTTTCTTTTCTCTTTCACTGTTTCACATAAATGACACGAACATTGTCACTAGCAAACTCCAATTCTCTTCCTAATTTTCAGATACCATCTATCAGTGTGAAACTTGATAGAGATAATTACGCCTTGTGGAAGACAAATATTGTGTCAAACCTAGAAGCCTTTGATCTTGAATCTCATATCATCAACCCTAATCCTCCACCAGAAACCTAAGTTGTTCCGGCCACAGAAACCATTTCCGCTTCAACCGAACCTAATCCTAAATTCACCACATGGAAGAAACAGGATCGGTATGTGCTGCTTTAGTTGAAGTCCACATTGTCAGAGCGTGCCTTGGCTCTTGTTTCAAGATCTACCTCGTCACAAATGGCATGGATTTCCATTGAGAAAACCTTCAAATCGCAAACTCGAGCCCGCAGAATGGCTATGAAGACCTAGTTACAATCCTTCTCAAAGGGCTCCCTTTTGACGATGGAATACATCAAGAAAAAACAGTCCATCTCCAATTCTTTGATAGAGGACGTTAACCTAATTTCTGAAGAGTCATCGTATGGCCATTACGTTACAACTTTTATGATGAAAAATAATGATGTTCCTGTTGATGACTTTATGAGTTTGCTTCCGCAAGAGGAGGCACGTCTTGACCAAGAACAGTCTCGCATCTCCACCACTGTTTTAGAATCCAGTAGTTCCACAGTCTTGGTTGCCAATCGTCACCCACCTTGCTCTTCTCCAATGAAGACTGCTTTTTCTCCTTCCTCACAGAATTGACATCATGATTCTAGGTGCAAGCTTCAATGTCAACTGTGTTTCAAACCTGGCCATGAAGCAATTGATGGTTGGCATCATACAAACCAAACAACTTATCTGTCTCGACGCCCTCCTCCCAAATGGCAGATCAACTATGCTGTTGATAGGTGCATTTTATGCTCCTATTTTGCTTGTTTATTTCCATCCTTTCATAGCATTCTACTTCATAATTCTTGCATTTAGTTAATTATATGGGCAATCGCATATTTCATTAAGAATGTTTGGTACTTCACCATTTTTTATCTATTTTGTAGGCAGCATGGAGTATCGAGCATGGAACTTGGAGCTTGGATGCTTGGAGCATGGAGCTTTAGAGCATGAAAAGATGTACCGATCATGCCATAAAAGAGAACATGAAGACATAACCCGAATCGTTGTTTCATTATCATCATAGCAAAGGACTACGTTTGAAACACGGTTCATGTCACATTGACACGGGTCGTGTTTGTCCTTTCTCATCTTATATTTGAGCAAAATGACTCATGCTAAAACTAGAGTGAATATGGAGCCAACGGTGAAGATTTATTGGACTTTTAGCAAAAAGCATGGGCAATACCAAAAACACATTTTCAAGACACATGCCAATGCTAAAAACACATGGGCAAAAGGCATGACCATGCTAAAAATGCATGGTCTTATGGCAAGCACGTGATCCTTAATAAAACAAGGGAAGACATCATTTTATGAAGCAGAGATGGGTTTTTTGGAGAAGTTCTGGCAATCTTGGGCAACTTTGAGAGATTTCTTGGAGCTTTTTAGAAGACCAAATCATTGCAAACCCTTTTGATTTCATTTTAATAGGCATTAAACATTTCAATTTCATCTTTATTCTTGTTTGATTTGTTCTTAGCCATGTGTGGTTAAGAAACCCTAATTTATGCTTCTTGTTCATAACGTGTTGTTTGATTGACTTGAAGCATATGCTTTGATGTTTGATTTTTTATTCTATTCTAGTGATTATGTTTTTGCTTAAACTAGAATCCTTGAGTTTGATTGGCCACTTTCATGAATTGAATTTTTGTGTAGTTAATTAACTTGTAGGGCACCTAATCGTTCTATAAAGTTAATAATTGGTAACAAACAATAAGTTCTCTTATTGTAAAATATATATCACATGTTTTCACACTTCCGAGCGTATGAGAAGAAATGAACATTGTTGGGAAGCTTGTACAAAACTAAATGTAGTTTTTCAATACAATCTAAGAGCGTGTTTAGGTTGAATTAATAAAGCTAGGTCTAGTCAAAGAGCGTTTTATGGTTAGTTAATTTGGCAAGAGAGAGGTATTAGAGCATGTTAATATCTTTCAGTGCCAACTTAGAATAGCAATCATGAATTACATCAAGTCATAATCAAGTTGAACAGCAACATTGAGAACTACAATATGAACTATTCAATCAAATTGTTTACAAGCTTATTTCATTTTGTGCATGCTTTTAAAGTATATTGTTATTTATTATTTTACATTTGCAAACAAAAC